TTTTTTTTTTACCTATAAGTAGCTTTTACAATTATAATTTTTTTTATTACTTTGAAATAACTTGAAGTGATTTTTTTATTTATAAGTAACTTTTTTTTATTCTAAAAAAAATTTACGTCATACCACATAAATTTTTTTTAACAAAATGATGTAAATTATGTTGAGAAAATTTTCGTGAAAAAATAATAAACATTAATAAAATAATTATTTTTTTAAAGAAAAAAGGCGAGTTATACGCATTTTTTAATACACAGGTTTGATGTACGTTTAACTATTTTCGATATTCATTTAGATCATTCAATGTATCTATGATAATGTTCTCGAAATGAGTTCCAAGAGAATATCGAAGATTTATTGATTCGATTACCGTACAATCGTTGATGAATTTTTAAAGTTAGCTTATTATCGAAATTCTTGAAATAATAGTTTGGAAATGCCTATTTTGATACCTTATAACATTAGCTACGATTAACCATTTCGCGCACCGTTGATATAAATGTCTTTCAAATTTTCAATTCATTAATGTCAAAGGATTTTCATATCACATGCAATTGCATTTAATTTTTCTACGTGTAGGGTCCACTGTGTGTTGGGAAGTGGGATGCTCTATGTGATTGAAAAATTACATTTGCTTTCTCATTTTCATCTACGTTCTTTACTTTGCATTTTCATTTCCTTTCTCGAAACAGTAAAAAATAGGCAAAAGAGATGACTATTCCACAATTTCTTCATCCTGCTGCGATTTACATTGGCTTTCTTCATCTTGCTGTGATTTCTAATCGACAGGTATAGTGGGTTGTGTTCTAACTTTCTTCAATTCATCTTGTTGCGATTTCCAGTGGATTTTTTTATCTAACTGTGATTTCTTCATCTTTTTATGTGTACAATTCTAAATTCGAATCGTGAAATCGACGGGGTGCGTGTGAATAACATACTGACACACAAAATACTCTTTGTATAAATGTAGTTTAGGAGTAAATTTAATCTGGGATCTTCGTTGAAGAATATAAAAGATTGACGGTTAATCAATATCTATGGATTTACCGATGATAATTGTTTTTTTTATTTTTT